ACATTTGGCAGTAATACGCAGATAAACACTCAACAACTTTATTTTTTCGGGATATGGCCACAAGACAACAGCTACTCAAATAAACGACCATTAGTTCTGCCTCCCCCAAAAGCACACTTCACCAGCCCACCAATAAAAAACAACAATAAACACACGGCCAGGGAATAAATGAATGAACACATCATTTCGTAGCCTAAAATTGATAGATAAAAGAAGGAATCAACATGTGAGCGGCGGCCATTCATTCAGACATCGGTCTTATGACTCAAACACACACATACTCACACGCAAGGAATTTAAACGCAACAAAAGGTGAGCCAAGCTCGTAGATTACCTCATTTCAAAATAGGCATAGCCGTTCACGGTTTGCGTTGGTGTTTTTTCGAAACGCGTTGTTTAACGAATCGTTTTAACGGCTTTGAGTGTGTTTTTTGTTGTTTTCGGGTTTTGTTTTGAAAAACTATTTTTTAACAACCCGTCAATTACAGTTCATTATTTGAGTTTACAGTTTTAAGGGGTCGATCATCCGAAATCTGATTCACACCTACCATTTAGGAATATTTTATTTGTTTTTTTGATGGTAGGTTGGTTGGTTTGGTATTTTTGTGTTTTTAGTGTGCCTGTTGCTTTGCGGGAAGTATTTATTAAGGGTGTTGGCATAATTCAAACGCAACAATTTATTGTAAGGTTAGGTGTTTTAAAAGGTGAAATATTATTGAATGGATTGGGGTGCGTATTAGGGACGGCAACCTTAATGTTGTTGATCATACGTCATGGGATCCCGCATTGAATATAATAATGTGTGGAAGATTGTGGGCGAAATAAATTAACCTTAAGGGAACCCCCCCCATTCTCGATTTTTTATTTTTAAGATTTTAAATGGGCTGGTAAATGAATACCAATGCTTGTTAAGGTTTGTAACTTGGCACATATATATTTGAAGATTTAAAAAGGAAGAAAAATAATTTACCAAAATTTGTTGTTGTTGTTTTGTTGTTGTTTTTTGGGTTCAAAGAAAAGTCCATATTTTCGATGGCGGGCATGATAACTCCTCACTGGAACATCGGAATCCGAAAATTCCAACTGTGTTAGAAAGAGGACATGTCTGACTCTCGTACGAACTAGGATTATTGACTTCGCACAAAAATTAACAAAATGGCGGAACTTTGAAAATTTTTTTTTGGAAAATCGCCTATTTTTTACCACAAACTAAGTTTAAAAATAAGGAAGATCTTCACCGATTGGCTTTACCCTAGTTCATACGAGAGCTACACACTCCCAGAGAAACGTGTCAAAATTTGAAACCGATTGTATTATTAGTTTTTGAGTTATCGTGTCCGCCATTCGTTTTGAGAAAAACGCGTTTAAAGTTTGAGAAGCCCTTTAGCCGTCACTTGATGCTGACACAATAAATCGGCTATATCTTCAAGAGTTCTTGAGATTTTCACTTGAAATTTTGTAGGAACATTCTAGGATTAGAGTAGATTCGAATTAAATTAAAAATTTTTTTCACACCGAGAATGGGGGGGTCCCCTTAATAAATTAACCTATTAGAGTTTTTTCACAGAACAAAATTTTATTAAATGAGCAAACAACTTTTCAATGGAAAAATAAATGTACTACAATAGAAACATGAATCTACAAACTATGGGGAAATATCTTCACTTTTTTTTACTATTTCCAAAATCGATGATTTTCAATGGACTATGTACATTTATTATGTACATTTATTGATAACTAGCATATACCCGCTACTTCGTTAGCGAATGTGGGATGTATTTAAACCATTATTAAAATTTTAAAACCATTTATTACGTATGTTCTGCCATAGTATGTTCTCAAATCTACCTCTATATCTCAACCCAACACACCCATTCCGACCGCTACAGAAATCTACCTCTATACTAAATTTGGTGTAATTTTTTACCATTTGTACTCTTGTAATACTTATTTTGAAAAAAATCTAATATAGCTTCACCCAAATCCAAATTGAGTATCAGTTAGTGCACATTAATATAACTACCTACTTTAACAATCATAAGTACGAATTTCCAACACTTCCCATATACCTCAATCTTAATTCCAAATTTCAGGAGTCTATCGGTTCATCTAAATCCAATTTGTATCACATTTAGTACCACTTGGAACACATAAGTAAACATTTCCATTACTACCTACATCATACAATCCAATTGAAATCATGAATTAGATAAAATCTTAATTATAATCCAAATAGTATCAAATTTAGTACACAGTAGTACGAATTTCCAAAACTTCCTACTTAACCCAAACATACACTCCCACAGTGATCCTAAATCCAAGTTTCAGGATTCCAACTCTATTGGTTCACCCACAATTCAATTTGTACCAAATTTAGTACATAGTTGTACCAATGACCAAAACTTCCATACCCCATCCTACACCCCCACAGTGATCCTAAATCAAAATTTCACGATTTCAACTTTATCGGTTCATCCACGATTTAAATTGTACCAAATTTAGTACAAATTTCTAAAAATTCCTACATATTTCAATGTTACACCTCAACGGTGATCCTGACTCCAAATTGCATGATTCTACCTCTATTGTTTCACCTAAAATTCAAATTGTACTAAATTTAGTACCATTTAGTACGAATTTCAAAAACTTCCAACTTAACCCAAACCAAAATCTAAATTTCAGGATTCCAACTGTATCTGTTCACCCACAATTCAAATTGTACCAAATTTAGTACACAGTAGTACCAATTTCCAAAACTTCATAAATACCCAATCCCACACCGCCACAGTGATCGTAAATGTAAATTTCTGGATTCCAACTCTATCGCTTCAGCCACAACATAAATTGTACAAAATTTAGTACACATTAGCACAAATTTCTGCATATCTCAATCTTACACCTCGACAATGATCCTAACTCCAAATTTCTGATTCTAGCTCCATTGGTCCGCCTAAAATTCAAATTGTACAAAATTTAGTACCATTTAGTACGAATTTCAAAAACTTCCAACTTAACCCAAAGCAACACCCCCACAGTGCTCCAAAATCTAAATTTCAGGATTCGAACTCTATCGGTCCACCCATAATTCAAATTGTACCAAATTTAGTACACAGTTGTACGAATTTCCAAAACTTCGTACTTAACTCAAACCAACACCCCCACAGTGATCCTAAATCCAAGTTTGAGGATTCCAATTCCATCGGTTCACCCACAATTTAAATTGTACCAAATTTAGTACACATTAGTACAAATTTTTAAAACTTCCTACATATCTCAATCTTACACCTCAACAATTATCCTGACTCCAAATTTCATGATTCTAGCTCTATTGGTTCACCCAAAATTTAAATTGTACCAAATTTAGTACACATTAGTACAAAAATTTAAAGCTTCCTACATTTCTCAATCTTACACCCCCACAGTGATCCTAAATCTAAGTTTCAGGATTCCAATTCCATCGGTTCACCCACAATTTAAATTGTACCAAATTTAGTACACATTAGTACAAATTTCTAAAACTTTTACATATCTCAATCTTACAACTCAACAATGATCCTGACTCCAAATTTCATGATTCTAGCTCTATTGGTTCACCCAAAATTCAAATTGTACCAAATTTAGTACCATTTAGTACGAATTTCAAAAACTTCCAACTGAACCCAAACCAACACCCCCACAGTGCTCCAAAATCTAAATTTCAGGATTCCAACTGTATCGGTTCAACCACAATCCAAATTGTACAAAATTTAGTACACATAAGTACAAAATTGTAAAACTTCCTGCATATCTCAATCTTACACCTCGACAGTGATCCTGACTTCAAATTTTATGATTCTAGCTCAATTGGTTCACCTAAAATTCAAATTGCACCAAATTTAGTACCATTTAGTACCCATAAGTAATAATGTCTTAAACTGAGTCCTGACACCAATCCTACACCCCTAAAATGATCCTAACTCCAAATTTCATTGTTTCAGCTCTATCGGTTCACCCAAATCCAAATTGTACCAATTATAGTACGATTTACTTTTCGTACACATATGTAACAAATTTCCAAAACTACGTACATATCACAATCCTATACTCCGACGGTAATGTTACTTTAAATTTTCAGGATTCTAGCTCCATTTGTACCTCCAAATCAAATTTGTACCAAATATGGTACTACCATATAGTACTTTTCGTACACATGAGTACACGGTTTCAAAACCATCTCCTTATATCGACCCTACTTCCCAACCCTAATTCGCATTCCAAATTTCAAGTTTTTAGCTCTATCCGTTCTCATGCTACAGAATTGTACCATATTTAGTACATTTTCGTACATTTCGGATAGTTGTAGTTCGAATTTCCAAAAACCCTTTGGTACATCTATCCTACACTCCATCAGTGACCCTCAATCCAAATTTCAGAGTTCTAGCTCTACTGGTTCGCCAAATACAAATGATATCATATTTAGTACTTTTTAGTACTTTTCGTACCCTTCTAGTACGAATTTCCAAAAACCCAGCCTTATCTGTCACATTTGGGCCAAGAGCGACCCTCACCCAAAATTTCAAGATTCTAGCTTCAGCCGTTTCGTCTGGGCGTTGATGAATCGTTAAATCAGTCAGTCAGTCAGTCAATCACTTTACTCTTTTATTAGTATAGATAAGTTCTGGTTTCAATTAACCGATTTTTTCGATAAACCGATGTTCGCTTATCCGAATTCGAATGTATAAGGGATTTCCCTTATAGCAACGTGAAATCAGCCGGCATAATTTGTTAATGTGCCAACAATATATCTATATTTTATTGAGAACAAAAAATGAGTAGTAATTCATTATCGCTTTGCTGATCCTCCATTTTTTTTGCATTGCACACACACTCGTAGTTAACGATAAAAATCAAAATATTTTATTTCTTAGAAATTATTCAAGGTAACAATCATTTTCAATTTACACCTAAATCATCAATCCTCTTTGTATAACCACTAAATGCAAATGGTCATATCGATGTTATTATTCAGGATTTGGGAACCGTCTCATATACTTATTCAATTGTTTATAATTTAGCTCTTTGCCGGGTGTAACAATACCCTTATTAATGGTTTCCTTGGCGGTTGCTTTCCGATCCATATAGACTTTGTAGCATCGTTTAAATTGTGTGATTTCCTTGTGACACATTTTCTCCACGAAATCATTCTCCTTGAGGCAGGCAAACAGCACTGACATCTCCTGCAGACAGGCTACATCTGAACCCGAATCTGCTTTACCACTGACAGTGTTCTTCAGACGCAATGGTAAAATCTCTTGGAATGGAACATCAGCCTCGTTTTGTGGAGTGCGTGCTTGACGTTTGGCAAAGAGGGCAGCAGTTGGTATACGCATGCTGTTCGAAAGGGCGGAATTCAGTTTTTAGAATTGTAAAATTTGAAACATAGCACGAAGTTGTATTAATTAGACTCACCTGGATCCAAATTTTATTTCATAAAAATCCAAAGAATACGAAAAATATCCAGCCAGCGGCCCCAAAAAAATTGCGGTTGTTACGAAAGTTATTTTTTGAAATTACAAAGCTGACATGGAAAATGGACGGCGTAGTAGTTTGAAAGGCGAGCACAAAGCAAAATGATTGATAAAGATTAGAATAAAAACAAAAACACAGGGATAGCAAGATAGAGTATGGGAAATATAGAAGAAATTGCAAAATAATGATTTTGGCACAAAACTGTTGGGTTTTAAGGTGGGTACACACTATCAGTTTCAAATGAAACACACATTTTGGGTTTCTACAATAGATTTGGTGAGTCAATAGAAGGACTTAATGAAACAGCAATATATAACAAAATAACCCTTTCTACAATAGATTCGGTGAGTCAATAGAAGGACTTAATGAAACAGTAACGGGCTAAATAATGTTCGTGTTGAGCGTTTTTTGTTATCGCGTTAACGCACGCAAAAAGTTAAAATATATTTAACTCCGAAGCGCAGCGGCGCCGGTGGGCTAGGACTGGGCAGCGATATAGGAGGCGCTCAATTGTCTCCCTCTCCTCCTCTTCAACGCAGAGTCTACAGTAATCAGTAACATCATGGTCCCATTTACTGGTAAAGGCCCTGATATTGCAATGACCAGTAATGATTTCTGTCATTACTCTTATTTCAGCTTTGCTCTGGTTGAAGTGTGATTGTGTCCTTTTGGTAGACAGAATCGGCCAAATAGATCTTGACACATTGCATCTAGGTCCGTTGGGCCAAAAGTTCATAGGCTCTTTCGTCAGAGAACGCCTCAAAGTTCCGATTGAGATGACATATGGATGGTTTGATTGAGCCATCAATTGCTAGATTTGTAGATTGAGATCCTCCAATGATATCAAAACACAGCCGATAGCTGTAAGTTCTTCCAAAACTGTTCTACACCTGAGGACGGCCTCAGGTTTGATGTAACAGGATTTGATGGCTTTAAGAGTCGCTTGACTATCCACAAAGATAGTTACCGGTACAACGATTTCTGCATCCACAATTTTTATCAATTCCCCTGCCTTCCAAATCGCGAAGATCTCAGCTTGGAAAACACTACAGTTTGTAGGTAAGCTCAAGGCCTAGCCTTTCACAGTAAACGCCAGCCCCTGTACCTTCTTCCATCTTGGATCCGTCTGTAGAGAAAACCATACCGTCCCCAAAGGTCCCTTTAACACAATTTTTTCTTGTTTTTTTACTTCTGTTGGTTATTAATCAGCCACTCTCAGCTTTTTTCCTCTAAATTTAATTTCGCGGCAACAGTCCGCTGAAGAACAATTTTCGAAACACATCAATTTATTTCATTATACCCATATACAAAAGTCCCATTTAAATTCCATTATGTTGAGGTTTCTATCCCAGTTTTTCAACCTAGGTTCTGTAATTTCCTCACAGCGAAAATAACTTTCCAGCTGAGAATTTGCAAAGAATTGCACCCATACCTACATTAGAGGAATATTCAAGACACTCCAAATGGTGGAGGGTGTTCAATAGTCGGTGCGACCGAATTTAACCGTTTTTCCATTGTTATCAACCATTTTCACCTTTCTCCCCTGTTCGTATCATTAATCATATGAAAACAGTTCCGTTGGTTCATTTCACAAAACCATACAATTGAACCCGTTCGTTCCGGAACGATACAACTCTAAACAATTGATACGTTGTTATTTTATTAGATTTTTTTCTGTAATAAATTAAGTGAATTTGTTGTTAAACAAAAAATTAAAAAATAAAACAATAACACACACACTCTCACGTATATATAAACAAAGTCAAACACACACAAAAAACAAAAACAAACGAATAAAAATGAGCGTACCCGAGACAAATAATAGTGCACCTGTAACTCCAGCTAATTATACGCCAGCTACATCAAAAAGGCAATTATCAACCTAATTTTTATTTGATGTTCCTATACATAATTTCAGTGTTTTCTATTGAATGGAATTTAGAGATATTGTATCGAAGAATTTTGATTGGAGAAATAAAAGTGACCAAAAAATATGCAATGTTTGTGTGTGTGCTCCAATTATGAAGCAAGTCATAAACTCGGGTGGTAAACTAGAATACCTTGGCTGGCCACTGGTACATATTTCTAATTGGATCATGCAATGGTGATACATGATTTGCAAATTCCAAATGCAATGGAATTGAGTTTTAGCTATTGCAAGGAAATCAAATTTTGCAAGAAATACCTCCACAGTTTTTTATAAGAGACCTTAAATAGTTATTGTTTGTAAGTGTGTTTTTTAATAAGTTTCCCACTTTTTTCATTATTTTTAGACAACTGTCCAGATTTCATCCTTACCATGGCAACAACATAATTCTATGTGAAGATAATACAGTCGCTTTTCGTAAGACCAGCTTTGCCGATGCGGTTACATTTTCCGAAAAACCCTTACAAATGGGTGAAATTTTCCTGGTAGAGATTGAGAAAAATGAACGTGGCTGGTCGGGCCATATGCGTTTGGGTCTAACACAATTGCTGCCCGATGTTTTGGGTTCAATGGATTCGGGTTTGCCACAATTTGCATTACCAGATTTGGCAAATTTAGGTACCTGTTGGATATTTCCTATATCAAAATTTGAATCTCATACACTGACACCACGTTCAAATGCCGGTGATGGTGGAGGTGGCGGAAGTGGTGGTGATAATTCGGCATTAGCTACGACAAACAATGGACAACCCTCAACAAGTTCATCTGGATCAACAAAAAGTAAGTTTGGAGTTTTTTTTGGCACTCTCTAACACAGGCACACACGTATATATATATAAGCATTTGTATGTAATTTGCATTGAAATTATATTGAGGGTTCAATCACCTAAACCAGATGAGTTTTTTACTTCCATAAATTACAGTCACAAAAAGGAGGGAAATCAACGCATTAACATGAGTAATTTTTAATTAGTCAGTCAATATAAATAAGAGATTAGTTTCTTCATACAATCGGAAATAATTTTAACTTTTTATCAGATTATGGAATTTAAAATATTTATTTTTTTGTACCCTCAGACTTATGTCGTTCACCCAGCTAACAATTTTTTTCGATATTTTGGAATTTAATTATAAATATTGTTGTTATTATTATTATTTTAAATACCCTCAGGCTTAAGGCTACCCAGCAAACATTTTTTCCGAAGTTTTCTGATATCAGTTTTTAACTGTGCCAAGGTTCTGGCGTCTACTGTGAAAGCCTAGGCCTCAAGTTTACCTACAAGTTGGATTGCAGCTGTAGGGTTTTCCATGCTGAAATCTTCGCGATTTGGAAGGCAGCGGTATTGATAAAAAATGTGGATGCAGAGGTCGTTGAACCGGTGACTACCTTCGTGGATAGTCAAGCGGCTCTTAAACCCATCAAATCTGAGGCCGTCCTCAAGTGTAGAACAGTTCAGGAAGAACTTGATTACAGCTATCGGCTGTTTTGGGTACCAGGACACCGTGATATCATGGACAATGAAAGAGCAGACGAATTAGCTTGACACGAATCTCAATCTACAGATCTAGCAATTGATGGCTCATTGAAACCACCCATATGTCATCTTTATCGGAACTTTGAGGCGTTCTTCGACGAAAGAGCCTATGAACTTTTGGTCCAACGAACCTAGGTGCAATGTGTCAAGATCTATTTGGCCGATTCTGTCTAACAAAAGGACGCACTCACTGTTGAACCTGAGCAAAGCTGAAATGCGAATAATGACAGGAATCATTACTGGTCATTGCAATATTAGGGCCTTTACTAGTAAATGGGACCATGATGTTACTGATTACTTTGGACTCTGCGTTGACGAGGAGGAGACGGAGACAATTGAGCATATTCTGTGTCACTATCCAGCCCTGGCTTACAGGCGGCACAGACTAGTGGGTGTTCATTTTCCAACGAGTCTTAGCTTCTTCTCAACAACTGAACCTGCTCTAATCTACAGCATAGAAACCTAAAGTGGCTGGGAAAGTGCAACCTTGACACGTAATATAGCTTCTGTCTTATCTCTATAGGCATCGATATTATTACAAACTTATTACAAACTGTCCTTCTTACATTTTCTTGTAAGCTTATCATCTCTCTTTATTTTCCCAATCTTCCCTGCCTTATAGATCTCAGAGTGCTGCAGCCACATAAGTGACTGCACATCCCCAAACCTAACCTAACTGAGTATAGAATGATGTTTGTTAAATATTATATAAATCGGGTCAAATTTAGATATAGCTCCCATAATTACTTTCGTCCGATTTTATGTAAATGGTGCACCAAAGACCCTATATTTCTTGCGATTTACACGAAATTGTGCATAGCGTTTAAGACGAAATTTGAAATACGATAGCGTATTGAGTCTAGATTGACGTATGTTAAGTTTCAATGAAAATTGCCAAGGTTTGTCCAATTCCGACGAAATTTGGAATATCGTACTGTATTGAGCCTAAATAGGCGTGTGTTAGATTTTGTTGAAATCGGTTCCGATTTAGATATAGCTCCCATATATATTTTCGTCCGATTTTTAGCAAATGGTGCACCAAAGCGTCAAATTTAGGTCGATTGGCACGAAATTTCGCACAACGTACTGACTTTAGGATAGTCTAACGTGTGCCTATTTTTATAGAAATCGATTCAGATTTAGATATAGCTCCCACATATATTTTCGTCCGATTTGGTGCCCCAAAGCGTCAAATTTAGGCCGATTGGCACGAAATTTTGCACAACTTAGGATAGCCTAACGTGTGCCAAGTTTTATTGAAATCGGTTCAGATTTAGATATATCTCCCATATATATTTTCATCCTATTTGAAGTAAATGGCGCACCAAAGCGTCAAATTTAGGCCGATAGGCATGAAATTTTGCACAACGTACTGGAGTTAGGATAGCCTAACGTGTGCCTAGATTCA